GGTTGGCCACCCCTGAACTAAGGCATTCAAGATGCTGTCATTTGAGACACCACTGTACTCTTTCTCATTGTGTGGGTGCGCATCTTTTCATTTCATTACATTTCACGAAACCGTTTTTTTTTTTTTTTTTAATACTACAGTTGTATTTGCATTAAAAAAATCAATCAGCCGCCTTGAAAGCAAAATCATATTTGGCAGACTTGCTTCGAGCTGAGCCCTGAACTCCAGTCCGGGTTTTGCTTCGTACCCGTCATGTGCTGCTTGTGTTCTCCCTCTTTCTCTCTCTCACACACACACACACACACACGCACACACACCCGCACGCTCCGTGATGCAGGCGAACACACGGAGCCATGCAGCGGGACACTACGACGGCGTGTCGGAGCCGGCCACACAAGTGACGTCCTCCCACCGCATCCGCGCCGCAGTCGTCTCAACGCGAAGGAATATCGCGCAAGGCTTCCTCCTCGCGAGACGGACGCCGACCTGCGTCGTCAAGGTAAGACAATTAAAAAAAAAAAAAAAAAATGCGCAAAATGTTCAACACGCTCACGTTGGTGCGCAAAGCGTTTTCAGTGCGCGTGTGAACGTCACTGCCTTGTGCGTGTTTTTTTTCTTTTTTTTTTAATATAATGCTTCAAAGTTTTTTACGCTCAGCCGCTTAGTGTTAAGTGATAACGAGGCAACGACGGGTGTGCATCGAATCAACCCTGGCCTCACGTTTGCTTCACCCTCGTGGCTTTGTTTTCGAAGCGGCACGAACGTGTTTGGGCTGATTGCGAAAAGGGGAATGCGTGAAAGTGCTCGAATTGGCAAAAGAGTTGAAGGAGATTACTTGTCGGATCTGCAAGTGCGTTCAAAGACTTAATTACACGGGGCGAGAGAATTTATTTGATAGGCAGTCGAAGCAACGGTGCAAGTCAGTGGAGGGGGGGGGGGGGTGAAGAGTTCTTGATCGGGTAAAAGGCAGAGTGAAGGCGCTTTCACACTAGCGCCCATTACATAGCCACTCCTAAACCAGTTCAAGCCTGATTCGGTTGTGGCTAAAATGCATCCAAAATCCAGATGTGGTGAGCCGTCAAATCCAGAATCGCAATTGCTATTTTATTGCTCCCCCCCCCTTTTTTTTTTTTTCCCCCCCCCCCCCCCGCCACTTTTAATTAACTAACTAATTAATTAATTAATTTTTGCTTTTCACTCCCTCGCGCGGTCAGCGACAATAAATTGTCATTTTTGGGTGGGAAAATATTTTCCTGAGCGGTGTCGAGTGTGTGAAACTGTTTGACTGCCATGGACGTTTCTATTTGTCAATTGGAATCTAATCAACTGGAATACGGTAATCCCTCGCTGTTTCGCGGTTCGTTTATTGCGGCTTCAGTGCATCGCGGATTTTTTTCAAACATATTCATTAAAAAAAAAAAAAATCATATACAGTACTGTATATGTTTCTCTATGTGACTCGCTGTTGTTTTGCAGCTTCTCGCGGACTGTTTGCGGACTTTTTATCTGTATATGTTTATTGGTCGCTACTTCGCGGATTTTCGTTTATCGCGGGTGGTTTTGGTGCCCATTAACCGCGATAAATGAGGGATTACTGTATTGGTGTCAAGTATGTTTTTCAACAGTTAGGAATGGAACATAATTTCCCCCCCCCCCATTTGTATAACATTAATTACTTATAGATGGCATCGTTTCATCGCTTTGTATTTGACAGCACAGTTTTTGAGTTGATGACTCTGGAAGGGAAATATATATAGTAGAACAATCTCAAGAAATGATGATGCAGTTCATTTCATGGAGTTGATGGAAAAACCTTGGCATGTTTCTTTTTGCAAAAATCAAATTTTCTCAGCTTTTTGGGCAGAAACCGGTGTTTTTGGGGGTGAAAGTGACTTCTTTTGCTGATGACTTGTGAATGGGGGAAAAAGCAAAAAAAACAACCTTTTTTTTCCTGGTGGAAGAATTCTGCTCTTTCTCATGGTTGTTTTTAGCTGCTGACATTATCACAGAAAACAGGATTCTTGTCGACTGTAACGTTCAGAGTGAACAAAAATCCGAGTTGGCCCAAACTTTGCTGTGGTTGCTGTTGCGATTTCTGTGTTGCGTTTTGGTTCGCTTCTATTTTTGCACCATGTGAAAAGAAACTGAAAACACTTGTTTGGTGGAAATGAACTGCCCTATTTCGCTCATCATCGTCACCATCGTCATCATCAATCTTCCGCTCCTTTGAGTTCATTCAGCTTTCTCGCACCGCTGAACCTCCTTGCAAGCTGCCACGTCTGTGATGTGTGTTTCTCGCCCCCCCCCACCAAAATAAATAAATAAAATAAAAAAAATAACCTGCCGCCACAAGCAATCGCTTGTGAAATTCATCAGGCGCAAATGACCAGCGCCCACATCTGTAAAAAGACTCTCAGGACCAATTCCAGCTGTGACGGAAAAGGATCTCTCTTGCGCGATTTTGAAACGCCGAGTCGGTTCGCCGAACAGAAAGTGAGCGTTTTTAATTGGTCGAGGTTTTACTATTTAGCCGTCGCTAATGCAACGAAATCATTTTTTGGCCCAATGAAGTGAAATTGGATCGTTTTGCACTTGGCCCACCGGTTGGGGGATTGTTATTCCGGCGACAGCAAGATCCAAGGATGCGAGGAAGGACAGAGGCGAAGAGGTCAGTCGTGTATGGAGAAGCCATTAGCAGATTAGCAAAAGCGAGCGCGCCTTTGGAGTAATACAAAACAGCAACGCCGAGCCGAGTCGCGTACGGCATTTGAACTAATGAGGTGTGGAGCAAGAAGCGTACTTAATGATTTTCACTCCCTCTTTAACTTTATCTTCTTGCCTGCTGTTGAAAAGCACAGCGAGGCAGGGAATTTTTTTTTTTTTTGAAATCTCAAAGAAGCAGCCCGCAATCAGTTGATCTTTTCTTTCCACGACGATTGTTCCGCCCATCTTAAACACGCTCTGCCAGTTATAAGCAGCGCCCCGGCTCTCGCCTGCCGCATTTAGGCCACGGCGGCAGCGGCAGCGGTGGCGGCGTAGCCGGCATTAGCTGCCTTGGCGTCTTTGCCTGCAGATAATGATGGGCTCTGTGCTCAACTCTCCACCCTTTTTTTTTCTCCCCTACCAGTCCCTTTCATGTGTCCTACCCACACAGCTAAACCTCCTTGCAGACCTTCACATTTGAGCAAGTCGTCCGCTACATATTCACGGTTCAGGACGTATTTACGAAATTCATTGGTTCTGGAAGAAATTTCTTCAGTCGAAAATTTTGGAAGTCGAGACGCGTTTTCCATGTAAATGCCCTAATCCGTTCCAAGCCCCCCCAAAATTCAGACATAAATATTTCCTAAAGCATAAAAATGCAGCAAAATATGGAACAAATACATGTTACAATTAGATTATTGCGCAATAAATGAGAGTTTTGCATAATGTAAAAAAAAAAAAAAGAATAAAGAGTCCCAACATTTTTGCCCTATGGACCGGTCTAATGTCAGACAATATTTTCAGGGATTGGATAAATACAACAAAATAATTATGATATGACCCGCATGACAACTGTGGAATTTTCGAAACAGAACAATCAACACGAATCACGACACGAGGAACGTCCTATCTGGCCGCAACACTCTCTGGTCGCTATGGTAATGTTTAAACGTGCCTTCAAAATAAGATCCACGGCAAATACAAAGTGCATGAAAAATATGACTCACCATCGCCGCATATTATGTAGAGTGGGCTTGGGGCGTGGGAGTCTCCTCTTGAGATAATTCCGTATTTTAAGTCGGACTTCTGATACTGTCTATTAAATGGAGCCTTCTTTTTCTTGAAAGTCGTAGGCTCCTCTTCTGTCTCCTCGCTTGGCCTTTTTCCCTTTTGTTCTCTACTCATTTTGCTAGCTCCCGGGTTTCATTTTAGCGGTAACCGATCAAGCGCGCCTTGACCTGTGTCAAGTGTGACATATTGTAGACGGATGTAACAAAGAATCCGGTCATTTTTCAAAATAAAACAGCTTTCAGATTCCGAAATGAATAAAACGGAAGCCATGCGAGTTATTTATTCTTTCTGTGCGGACCGGTACGGTCTGCGGACCACAGATGTCCAGCACTTTGTCTGCTGCAGCGGTGGTTGTTTTCACCCTTTCATGCGCCCTGTAACCCGATCACATGATAAGCTGTCCACTGTAGTAACCGCTGACCCCGAAAGGGTTAAAGTCTTTTTGTAAATACAGTTGAGTGGAGTTGTTTTGTTTTTGGCTTTCCGCGGGGGGACCGCGATTGGCCGTGATCTTAACTTGTCTCGCCTCAGATTTGATTACCTCAAGGCCAAGAGTCGCAGCGGTGTTGTGATGATGCTGGCGATGATGACAGCACTGATGAGTCAGCAAAGTGCGCGCATCCTGGCTTCCAGATCTGTTCTCTTTTCTTTTTGGGCTGCGTTTTGAATTCCAGTCTGGCCTCCCCTCTGCGGTTCAGAACAGGAATTCTTCTGTTGATATCCATTTGGCTCGAAGGGACTCCATCCTGCTGCAGTCCTTCACACTTAGCCGCTTCGAAGAGTCGTGCGGGAGCTGTCAGCAGGCTGCTTTAATTCCTCCCCCCCTACAAAAAAAAAAACAAGCAAGTGATCAAGCAACGTATTACCCCCAGGAAACCTGTCCAATAATTTTTTTTCGCTCCTGCTACAATTTGTAATGTCTCTAAACACGGAGGAGAACTTCCCCGTGGAGCCACTTTGGTTGATTCACTCTGCGTAACCGAGAATCAGTTTTTTAGCTAAGTGTGCTAATCCTTTCCCTTTTCAGATTATCTGCCTTTTTGAGGCGTTTAAGGCTCATAAAGGACACTTTCAACTTCTTAACTAGCCCACATGAGGGGGATTCAATGTGTTTCACAGGAAGGCTTGAGCTGTCATCTAAAAAAAACCCGCAAGTAGTTAATCTTTAGAAATAAATGCCGGTATTAATTTATTTATTGCTATTTATATTCGTCAACGGGAATCCAATCGTTGACCCGCCAGAGACGACTACATTCCTCAAGCGCGTTTCTCAATGGGTTACGCGTGGAAGAGGGTCTCGCCCAGCTTCTCCGTGAGATTCAAGGTTCTACCCGACCGTGATGATGAACAGATGCCATCAGATGGCAGCGTTGCATTGTTGATTTGAGATCAGCACAGCTTTTGAGTGGAGGCGAACAAGCAGGGGGCGAATCATTTTGTTGCTTGAAGTCGAACTCGTTCGGGCAGCAGGCACCCGCTCGAAATAGAGTACGGCACTGTACATGTATGGTGTAAAGCACTGGTGTCAAACCCAAGGCCCGGGGGCCAGATCTGGCCCGCCACATCGTTTTATTTGGCCCGCGAAAGCAAATCAAACATGTCTACTTCCATGATGCCTGCTAAAATCTCCAGCCAACATTTCAAAATCTCAAATGTAATAAATAAGAGACGTATTGTCAACATTTTCTTGGAACCAAACCCCTCATTACAGTAACTTGAACAATA